GCTTGGCAACGACGTTGTAAAACAAGCCAATTCACTTCGTTAACTCGGCAACAAGGTTACCGTTTTTTTTTTACCTCCGTTTTTTTTTTTTTTGCGGTAACCATAATGGTGGTCGAGTAGATCATGCTGTGCGGGGTGGAGAACCCTCACTCCGCGCAAGGGGGATGATCGCACCACGTTGTGTTAAAATGGTCAAGCACCCTCGAGGCAGTTACACAGTGCTTACAACTGTCTCTGGAAGTGAAAGCACCAGAAAATAAATTAATTCATACGCAGCTGTCATCCGTACGCAAGGAAGTAAGCACAAGATGCCGAACACCCTTAGCAGGATGCAGCGCACCCTTCATGCGACTCGCCGAATATCTCACGGCGCTTCGCGCTTGGTGATGTGAGAGCCTGGTCCGGTGAGAACCCGGCGTGCTCCGTCCCGGCTTCGTAGGGATGCGAGGTCAATGGTCTAACGACTACGGCATGCACGACTATGAGTACACCCCCCCCCAAGTCCTATCCTGTCCTGGCTACAAGTGTCTGCTATCAATTAGGTTTTTTCGTGGCCGCTGCCTCACACACTCACCCCTGACCGGCTTGGTGTTGTTGTTGTTGGTACCGTTGCAACAGTCTCCGCACGTGCTGCAGGACGTCAGCAGGGATCTTGTCTGGTGAGAGAGTCTCTGGGTTCTTCTCTTCCCGCGACTAAAGGAGGGAGAGAGAGGAGGCGACGAAAAGAAGAGAGGCTACACAAAGAAGCAACAGCGCCAAGGCGGATTGGTTTCCGCTCTGCCTAGATACGACCCCGAAGGAGAATAAAATCTCCTTGAGCACAAGCATAGAACAAGGAGGTGGGGCGGCGGGTCACAGGCCATCGCGTACGCAGCGCCTCCAACACCACGGAAAAGTTCGACAGCGAGCGCTCGGCCCCGGGTAGGGCGAGAGCTACGATCGGATAGCTACGATCGATCGCAGACAAACCCTGGCCGGAAGCAGACAGCCCAGGGAGGGAGAAGGATGTCGGACAACCAGCCGTGGGAACCGCTCGGTATGCTGGACTTCTTCGTCCTGGGCATGGTTTCCACCTTCCAGCTCGTGGCGCTGGGCGTCTGCGCCCACCTCGTCAAGTGGCGGAAGTGGCCCCCCTACCTCACCAAGAACGTCGACATCGTCATCATCTCGGTGAGTCAGTCGCTCCTCAACTCTTGGTTGTGGTTGGCTTGAGACGTTAGCTGGTGGTGGGCCGGCGGTGGAGCTGGCTCGATGTGGTCAGCGGCGGTAGGGGGGGGTGTCCGAGCAGTCGTGGTGGACTTGGTGCGTGCTCATCCGTCGGTCAAGCGGTGTTCGTGTGTTGGCGAAGTGCTTGCGATTGTCGCCGGTTTCTGCTGGACGAGGACTTGGAGCAGCTGTCCTGTGTCTGTTTTCAGGTGCTGAGCATCGACAAAAACTAAAAAGGGATCTCAACGATACACATCAGCCAAAAAAACATTTCGATTCAGCTCACATCCCGCCCGTTGCCGTCGCTACTGACGCCTTTCCGTTCCGCGTCTTCATTGCCGCGCGGCCGCCCACCCCGCTGCCTGCCGGCCTGTCGGTCTCCCCACCGCTTCATTTTTTGGGTTTCCTGCAGACTTTCGCGGGCATTCTCTGGACAGCCACGAAGGCGATCGAAGTGGGGTTTGTTCGGAGGAGGGTGGGCGACCTGTTGGCCGCCTGCGACTTTGAGGTGCGGCGCTCTCGTGCGAGACACTCCCCCAAATCTCGCTTCATGAACATCACCATTATCTTATGTTCTCTGGGTACACCCCAATTTTCTTCCAGTTCAGCTCTTCGACCGTCCGCTTCATCGCTCATCATGTTNTTCGAAAACCTCATCGCGGCCAGCCTTTGTGGTGGATGCTCGCTCACCCGTAGAAGGCCCCGCAGCAGTCTCCCTGCCTGTCGCTGTAGTACGACTCGCCGTAGTTGTCCTTCTCGGCAAACAGGCCGGCCGCCAGCACGCCCCAGATTCCGCAGCCCATGTGCACCGGGGACGCATCCACCACATCATCGATCTGCCCCCCCCCCCCCCCCCCCCACGATTCCTCGCTTTCTATTGCCCTCAGAGATTCCTCGCGTGGGGGTGCTTATCGGTGCACGTGGTGGCATTCTTCATCCGGGTGTACCGGATGTGGAGGATACTCATCAAGCACGATGAAAACATGTGGCACACGGAGTGAGTGGCCGTATTTTCCTTCGTGGGCATGATTCCGTGTGTCAGTCATCCCTTTTTCTTCGAGGCCCCCCCGGCTTTCCTGCTGCTTTTGCGACGACTGCTGCTGCTGCTGCTGCTGCTGCTGCCACCCGGGTGTTTCGCGGCGCATCGACACTCGTCGGGTGCAGCGACGAGATGCGAGTGCCTTTGACAGCGATTTGTCGCTACGAACGCGGGTTGTCTAGCCCGCTGGTACATTACGACGTCACCCTTCCCGCGTCTCCGTGAGATGCACGTTTTTTTCTGCACAATCTTCAGTGTTTGCGCGGCGGTTACGTACGCGGTTGTGCCTACAAGGTAGCCTCATCGATTCCGGGCATGAGGATGTACAGAAGTGGCTCTTCATCGCGCTAGCCTCGGTTGTATTGCCAGCCGTGACACCAGTCACAACGTACGTACGCGGTTTCTCTGTTGCCTTTCACGGCGTTTTTTCCCCGGTGGCAAGGCATTAGGCACGGAAACCTTCCGCGCATCTTGTGTTTTGGTCCCGCAGTGACCACATGGTTCCCCCCCCGCCCAACTCCCCCCGCGCCGTCTGCATCTGGGGGTTCCGTGTTGCTTTTTTTTCGGCCCATATTTCGCTCTCAGGCATCAAATACTGCTCCTGTCGGGCATATGCTTGATACCCGTCGTCACCACCTGGCTCATCCCTGGCACGGCAGTCTTCGACGAGGAAACCAACTCTTGCGCCACCAACAGCGCGAGCATGTACCCGACCCTGGGCATGAACGCTTTGGGGATGTACGGGATATGCTACCTTTGGTGAGGGGACCGTGGCGCTTGCCCGTGCTTGTCTAGCTGGTAGGGCGATGCTGCTGCCGTGTTTGTGGAGGACGCACGTGAAGAACATCCATATCTGTGTTTTTTGTTGTTGGGCTTAAGCCACTGCTGGCTCTTGAAGGCGGTAATACTTTTTATTTTACATTTTCCGCGCGCACAATACCCTCCCCGTTCCCCTTTTTGGGCCCCGGTCGGATGTCTTGGGATGTGACGGAAGATATTTTGCGTGTTTGGTTCGTGCCGGAGAGCACGTTTTTATGTTTTTTTTTTTTTTGTGGCGTTTGGTTGAACATACTTCGTTCTTTGTCAGAGGTCCGATAATCGGAATCGACGTGAAGGAAGCTTGTTTTCTCCACGAAATCTGTTTTTTCCCGGGGGGCATCCTCGGTAGATTCTCCTCCTAGAGATTGGCGGAGCCCTTCCTTCCTGTTGTTTCGTATGGAGTGTTGTTGTCGGCGATTTAGGTACGGCTGACAGGTGTTAGCCTGCTGGGCCGGCAGGGCGTACTAAAACACAACAGTTGGTAAATTCATATTTTGCCTTTGTGTATTGCTTGCGCGTGCCTGCGCCGGACGACGCAACCGCCGCGGTTTTGCTCGGGGCGCGCTCTTCGCGCTGGCTTGACTGCTGCGCGACGGGAACGACCCAGGTTCGTCTGCATCCGGAGGCTCAAGTCCGTCCGCAAGCAGTTCAACGAGTACCAGACGATGAAGCGCACGCTTCTCTACCTGACGTTGGCCCTCCTGAGCTACGCCCTCGTGGTTGTCGTGCTGCTCGCGGGCCAGCACGTGACCGTCAGGAGGGTCGCCATTCTATGTGAGATTTTGTGTTGGCTCTCTGGCGTGTGGTGTTTTCATGGTTCACCATTGCGGTGGGGCCGCCTACTGCTGTAGCGCACGCTGAGACACAAGACTTGTCGCGTCGTGCCGTCGTGCCCCCCCAAGCACCGCCGTTTTCCATAGTGGTTGCGATCGGCCCCATACCCCTGTGCCGTACCCTGCGCTTCGTTTCTCAGCTCTGTCCGTGGTGTGCGGCACTCCAACAGCGAAATGCCATGCGGTAGCAGCCAATCCGACAGCAGATCATACCAACAGCCTACATAGCAGGTCTCGCTCCGTATGCCCATCTGGCACTTTTTGTTTTTTGTCGTCCTCGATAACGGCTGCCCAGCCATGGCAGTAGCGAGGTGAGTCCGAGTTGCTCAAGACCGACGAAAAGGTTGGCGTCCTCCCTCTCCACTCATCGGCCCCTCTCGTCGCCTTTTTTGACGGACAGACCCTGTCATCACAACGTACATCCTGCTATGGGGATCCATTCGCGAACCGTTCATGAAGAAGATTCTGGGAGATGACGAGTACCTCTGGTCCTACACCAAGGGGTTCTCCGAGCTGCCGTCGCCGGCCCAGGTGCTGCAGCGATTAACGTTTAGGTTGCGGTTGTTGGTGGGATGGTGGTTGATGTACATTTTCTGGGGAGGGCTTTTCTCTTCTATCGCGCTGTTGCTGCTGCTATTGCTCATGGTCGCCCGACGTACGGTGTACGAGGACAGCAGTAGAGTTTCCTACTTTTTTATATCACGGGCGTGGTGTTCAAACAATACGTGCGTTGTCTGTCTTTTCTTGTGCGTGCCTACAATAGGTGATGAGAAAGAATGCAGTGGAGCCCCGCCAAACAACTTTCGGCTAGTTGCTTACCACTACGTCTACTGCGCAACGACTTCGAGATGTCTTCACCCACCTTAATAGTAGTGACATCTCTAGCGCGTGCATTCGCCGGGTGTGCAGGTTGCCCCCACTGTTAGGTGTTACGCGGGCTCGATGAGTTTTTTCGACGACGGGCGAGGGTCTGAAGCCGAGGACGTATATTGTCACCAATGACCGGAGGCATTTGCCACAACCGGCCGTCAAACGTAAATGTGGCCGCTGTATCCAGAGATGAACTCACTCCTGACATGACCTTGGTTGTATTTGAGAATAAAGAAGAAGTGGTAACCTGCCCCTCTCTCGCTAAGCGCTACTAAATATAAAAAATCAGCAGCCCTGTCTTCGCCACGCTGCAAGCTCCACACAGAACGACAAATCGACGCATTTTTCCCTTGCCATTTAGACCGACACGGATTTTGGAAGGTGGATGACCGACCGGAGCGGCTTTTTGACGTGACCACAGCAACTACCACAACAACGGCAACAGCTACACTGTTTCCTCCATTGCTCATGTAAGACTGTTGCGTGTGCTTCTCTCCACCCCCGCCTCTCTCTTTCGGCGGTCTGTCTCGCGCTTGCTTCTTTTCACATGCGCCTCTCAGCTGAAGGCCAGCCTGGCGGAACAGCTTTCCGTGGAACAGCTGCGGGACGAGTTCCGGCAGTACATCAAGACCAAGGTGGCCCAGGAACTGGTAGACTTCTACCTGGACTCGCTAGACCGGGAAGAGGTAATGGGCTTCTTTGAGAGACAGGTACGTGGTCAAAAACCGCATGGCATGGTTAGTCCCCCATCTGATCGAGCCGACAGCAACAGCTAAGAAGGCGACCAAGGCTGCTAGAGTTGCAGGTGCTACTAAATAAGTCAATGCCACGGACCCCGAGTTGTTGTTGCCTTCTCTCTGCTGTGCGTATAGGTGGCGTTGGATTTTGTAGTCTGCGCTGCCTCGCGCTTGGTTGGTCCAAACTGCGCTAGAAAGACGAACGCGATCCTTTAAGGAACCGTGTTACACAGCCGGGTCGTCTGACGGCATGTGTTGAGGGAGCCACTACCGTTCTAGGGCAAGTGTGTCACCGAAGTGCACGCAGCGATGTATGTTTTTTGTCTCGCGAGACTGCCAAAGGTGAAGCTGATGCAGACACGAGATGTATGGACACGCAAATTTATGGTGCTCGTTGTGCGTAATTTTAGCAAGGTACCGGAAGTGTTCGGCGTTATTGCCGGCCAGCTAGAGCCATGCGTCCTGTCGATAGGACGCTGTATCGTTGACATATGCACCGTGGTTCTACGTCGTGGAGGGACCGGAAACCCACGCGCGCTGCATCCTGTGACCGCAAACAATTGGCTGATTCTTCGACTCCTCTTCTTTTCTTTGTTTTTCATTCGAATTGCCTCCATCACTATTTTTCTACATCCGAAGAAAGAGGGAGATACCAACTTGGCAGAGCACCTTTCCCCCCGCACACACCTTTGTGCGCCTTTTTGAACATGTCTCTGCCTTTCCACCTACATCTTCCTCTCGTCTCCGAGCGGCAGCCACTGGTCCTCTTTTCCTCGGTATATGGACTAGTCTTTCTGCACGAAGTAGTCTTAGATGACCAAGTCCCCCAAGACGTTACCCTACCATTTTCTTCGCCAACTTCGAGGTCACCATGCTACTACTCGTTCAGCGATGTCGGCCTCCTCTTATGGCTTCCCCACACCGTTCCTTCCCCCGACTACCTTGTCTCCTAGGATACGTGAGATCATTCGCGAGTCTTCCGTGTTAATACTGAACGGCTTGTGGGCGTCAGACTTGTGCTTCTCTGCTTTCTGGATTACTACTTTCCGCAACGTAACCTCCAGCCCCCAGAGTGGAAGCCCCCTCAATGCGAAGCGAATGTAATGCAAGATCCATTGGGTTTCAGCCCGACTGTGAACAATCTACCCACGAAGAGCTTGGGAATGCTTCAGCACCTTCACTTCACGGCCGCGACGGTGTGATGATAGCGGCGCGTCATCGGGCAAAGTTTGATGACATGATCACAGCGGCACCACGAAGGCGACTTGCTGGATGTGAGCGGCCCGCGCGTTCACTGGCGCCGTGGCCCGCACCGCTGCCCCCCCCCGCGGCGACGAAACCGCACCGCTGCCCTCGCCCGCAGCGCCCGCCGCTGGCCTATCGGTATCAGGACCCTGACGAGCGCTTGTGCCGTCGATCTCTAACTTGAGCTGTTGCATAGCGCCACGAGATGACGCCCTGCAGGTGGTCGATGGCCTCGTCGCGGTCCACGCGCCGGAGCTTCTCCAACCCTCGGCGGAAACCGGCGATGGTGTCGCAGTCGGTTCCGCCGTCACCCCCGGCCCGAGGCGACTTCCGTGCCCGCGACATGCGTTCTGCTCCACGATCGGGCATGCCCACTGGCGCCCGGGAGGCCTTGGCGACGCGGAACGCCCGACGGACATGGCTACCGTGTGAAACATTTGCAACATGAACAGCTCGCAAAACGCCCGTCAGACTGAACAACAAGTGAATGATGGAGTGTATCCCGTCGACTCGGGGCCTTGCTTCGCGCGGCAAGTCTCCAATAATTGTGTGCGCGACAAGCGCAGTAAGTATCCTTGTAGAGGACAGACTGTGAAAACGTATGCGCTTTGAAACCGTACTTCGTTTGTCGAACCTCATCACATTTAACGACTGCAGAGTACATCTGATGTGCCTCTACCATGGTATGCAGCGCTGCACACTCGTGCCTCGCCCGTAGAGCACGTCACGAGGAAGCCACGGACCCTGTGATGCAGTCGTGTACTTAAAAGAAGAAAAAGAAACGTTGTGTGTGTGTTTTCTTCCCCAAGCACATGCAAGCTGTTGCATCGTGTGACAGACCGCGAAAAGCCTCGCCACGGCGAGTGTCTCCGCGGCCTCAAATACGTCAGTCTACGTTGCCTTTGTGTTCGCATGAACGTGTGTACACCCAGAAAAAGGGGTTATTTCTGCACGCCGTACCCCACAGCGTGTGTGTACACCCCACCAAACCCGTCGCGTGTTCCGCTCCTCAACACAACGGGCGACCACCGAGTCAAACGCTGCCGGTCTCACACTTTGACGTTCATCGAGGCAGTTTGCTCTGAGCACATCCACAGACACATACCACCTCAGCAGTGGGCACGCGAGTCAGCACGCCCGGCGTTCTCTGCCGGTGCCGTGATGGAGTAGCTCTCTCCGCACCACAACGGAATCGCCCTCTCAACCTCCACGACTCTCGTCAGGAAACAATGAAAGACCAAGCTAATTTGCCTCTCCTCCAGCTGGCTCAATGCGTACATCCCGCTTGTCTCTGCGTTGCTCTCTCTACAGTTGTCCTCGTCAGACCCTCTTGTGTGAACACCTAGCTTCAACATAGTGTTCGAGGTGCGGCTTCTCCCATTCTCTCGTTGGGTGCACTCCGTATTTCCTTGATCGTTTTCTCATACCCTAACAACGACACGACAATTCGATTGCTTTATTTTCGGCTGATCGTGCAACATTTCTCCCCTCTTTTGGTTGTGAATCGTTTGTTGTTGTGCCATAGGCGGCGACCATGCGCATCGTGGAACGCTACATCCGAGAGGACGCTCCTGATCAGGTGACATGAGTAGCCTTTCCCAACTTTCCCGTCGTTGCCTGGCGACGTGTTCGTTGGTGGGAGAGTTGCTCGAGAAGGAGGCGCCTTTCGTGGACATGCAGGTTATCCTGCTCCACCGGGGTGGAAATGAAACCGCCACTGAGGCCAACGAAACGCGAACACCTCAAACTACCCCACCCCGAACAACACGTCAACTGCGGTGCCACCTCTTTCATCACCGAGCATCACACATTATCGTATGCAAGGTTTCGCCTCACCGCGGACGCAGGCTGTGGTGTTCCACCGTCAGGTGGCGGCGGTGTTTACCGTTTTTTTCTTCTTTTCGTGGGGAGAGTGTAGGGTTGAAACGCGCACCTACAAAAAACACGCACGGAAGAGGGTGCCCCGTTCTCACATTTCCATAGGCCACGCCAACTGTGGTCCTTGTTACATCGTGTTGGGTCGTGTCGCCAATGCGTGGGGCCCGTACCCCATCTGCCCGCCCCCGCCCCCTTTTTGCCCACGTCATCGACCAGGAGGGTTAGCCCGAAGCAATTTTGTGCGTATCTTGTGTGCTGTTCAGGAAAGCCGGTGTCTTGACCCTTACTCTGTTTTCCGTTGTTGATGGTGGTGGCGGCGGTCGTGGTGGGTCAGGTGAACATCTCGGAAGAATGCCGAGAGAAGATTCTCGCGACGGACGTGACCGCGTACGACATCTTTGACGAGGCTAGGGCGGAGGTCTTAGTGGTCATGGAGGTAGGTGCTCTGTCTCGGAGAGTTTCGTTCGCTACTGCCCTCGAAATACAGACCGTGTTAGTGTTAATAGCTACTGCCTGGTACCCGCAGCGGTTCTTCATGCTTCGGATTCTACCAAGCACTTGATCCAGCCCCCGACGCGGCCTTTCTCGACAATGTGTAGTCTAATGTTGAATAATATTTCGTTTTCGCGCCAGTGGGGTGTTCGTGTCAGTGTTTGATAATATCGGGAATCGTTGCCGTTGTAGATGGCTGCTGCTGCTGCTGCTGCTGCTGCTGCTGTCGTCGTCGTCGTCGTCGTCGTCGTCGTCGTCGTTGTTGTCGATGTCGTATGTAGCCGTCGTCTCCGCCGTCGACAAGTTGTTGCGGTTGGTATTGATAAGTACGGCAGACCCAGATTTACCCACATCTGCTGATTCTCAGAGCAAGATCTTGCTGCACGATTCTAAGGGTGTCCTGGAAAGCCTCGATGTTGAGCGTAAGGCTTCGGTTTTCACAACATATCCACGGTGCCCCCCCCCCCCCCCCCCCCCCCCCCCCCCCCCCCCCCCCCCCCCCCCCCCCCCCCCCCCCCC